AAAAATTCTAGTATTAAAAGTTTTTTTTTTTTAGTCTTTTTGCTACATAGTTATTAATGCAGCGTACAAAAAGCAATATAAAAAATTGATAAAATGATCTGTCAATTTAAATTTGATTGCAATATAATTCAGTTTTTCAAATCTATTTGCCATCATTATTACATTAACGTATGTAATAAATCATAAATAAGTTAATTTGTGCAATAAATATTTTTGATGTAAAATCGCATCAAGGAAGAGTATTTAACGGAAATCTTGTAATGAACTCATGAATGAATAATATTAAAATCTGCTGGATGTATTCATCATTGTCCATCTTACTAATTAATTAAATTAAAAGTATTAAATATTTTTCATTATTGTTATTAAATAAATTTTAAATTAAATTTAAATTTAAAATTAAATTTTAATCCAATTTCATATTACTAATTCCTATTCTAATACAACAAAAATAATTATTAATATTACTTAGTAATATTGTTATTATTGATATTAATTGACAATATAATAATTACTAAAATTATTATTATTATTATTATTATTACAATCTGATCTTATCGATTAGTTTGTATCAAAATTAACCGAAGACATTGATGGAATACATGTAGCTTGTAAGTAAGTATTAAAACGTGACATATTTATTTATCAGTTTAACGAAAATATGAACCATACCACTTATGATCTATCAAAAAAGATGAATCGGATGTCATGCGGATGTCATCGGTACTTAGATGTTTGTACGATTAGAAATAAGAATTTATTAATTAAAGATAATCAAAGCTACGTGAAAATTAATGTAATGAGGTACAAGGTTTTATCTTTTAAGATAACCTTGCCTTATGAAGTGTCATATAATAACACTTTTAATACAGAGTTAATTATTATATTTATCAAACACAATATGATTGTAAAGATGCAATTTTTAACGATTTATGCGACATATTTTCTTAGTATAATTGAAACTACAAGTTTATAGAATTGTAATAGTAAATATTTTGTAAGTAAATTATAATATATAAAACTGCGACATATATACTTTTTACAAAAATGTTTTCAAGAATTTTATGATTTTAAGAATCATATCTTTAAAGTGGAAGAAGCGTAATTATCATTTCGATAAAATAGTATCTAATTAATTATTACGCGATTCAAAAATAACGAAGCAGTGAGAGTCCGATTTCTTCCCGAAAAGTGTATCATTGTTATATATAATTATGCAACGCATGACATAGTTAA